TTCAAATAATCAGTCATTAGGCCCCAAAGAAACATGAAAAAAAAATAATTTTCTGGTCTATCTTTCTATCTTGAGAAGATTGGTGGAAAATAAATACAGGCCAGCCCTACTTGCCATGAAAAAATAACTTACTTGGAAAAAGCATGATTATTTGAATTATATATACACTGAAAACGGTATAGGCAAGAAAGCTCTTTTGGAAAGCCTTCGTGATTTCTGTGCCTATTCCATAATGCGCACTACCCAATTACACTGCATTATATTATATTAAAGTAATTACATTAAAGTAATAAGCTGTCTTTCCCCCACTCCTCCTCAGCACCCACTGAAAATAGATTTTGTGTGTGTGTGTGTGTGTGTGTGTGTAAAGGGTAGTATTGTCATCCTTGAATAGAAAACTACCATTTGAAAGGTTGTGGGAGCACTATGAACACTTTCTATAATACTGTTGCTGGCACTACTCAGTATGTGTATTTTGTGGGTCTTCCTGTGTTCTCTGCAGCATTTATTCCTGAAGGTAGGAAGGGGGTAATTGAAATTTTAATGCTAAGTGGCTTATGCTTAAAAGCACACACATGTTCCTATTTTTACATTGCTAAAACCCTGGTGCTGTCTGCAGTCCAACTTCAAACGCTTCTCAAGGTTAAAAGGCTTGACAAAAAATAGATTTGGTCTAAAGATGACAGTCTTAGCTGAAGAAGTGAGCATTTTGTGCCAACTTACAGCACTGTCAAAATATGTATATAAGCACATATATAAGCACATTCTCCACAGACAATTATGAACATTACTTCTGCTGTTTATCATACTTGATAAGTCACAGATACCATAATAGGAAGGTGCATTAATGTTATCTCTACTCAATATTGTTAAATACTGAGAACATACGACAGTGAAAACTTCTGAAATGGTGATGTGTGAGTTTGTGAACTCTGAATAATCCAAAGAGGTATCATTATTTTTACCATTAAATGACAATGAGTGCCAGATCTTTTCCTAGTTACTCCAGTGCCTGTGGTTTGTAGAAAATGTTTGTGTTTTTTTTTGTTTTTTTGTCAATTAGCTTTTTATTGAATTATATCATAAGTGAATAAAGAATAGAACATCGAAAGAGTGAGAACAATTTTTGGAAAGAAAAGTTTGGAAAAGGAGAGAATTTAGAAGAGAGAACAATAAAAGAAAAAAAAGAGATATATAATACATGAATAGTTTAACTTCCTTCTATTCTTCGGTGGTTGTGAAATCATGGTAATTCGCCTCCCGAAGGGGCAAGATACAAAATTAGTCTAAACATCCCTGTGATTTCTAATCTTCCTGTGAGTGTTTGTTTAATCATATTACTAAGTCTACCTTTAATTGCTTAAGGTAAGATTCTGCAGCAATTTTACAAAAAAACACACATTAATTTTCTACTCCACACCTCTGTGTGAATGTAAATAAAAAGTTGAAAAAGCTTGACAAAAGTCTTTGTTGAACAATATACCACTACCCTGAAAAGTCAATTTTCTAGGAAGGGATACATTCTCATATTTTATGGTACTTGGAGACACTGTTTTACAGTAGCTCCCTTCCTTTCTGGAGGAGTGAACCCAAAAGGTGATGCTAGGGAGCTCCTGTTCGAACCTCTGGCTGTTAACCTTGGGGTCCCTCAGAGCTCTATTTTGTCCCCCATTCTTTTTAACATCTGTATGAAGCCACTGGGAGAGGTCATCCAGAGTTATGGAGTGCGATGCCATCTAGATGCAGATGTCACCCACCTCTACTACTCCTTTCCCCCTGAATCCAAGGAAACTGTCCTGACCGTAAACCAGTGGTTCTCAACCTAGGGTCCCCAGATGTTTTTGGCCCACAACTCCCAGGAATCCCAGCCAGTTTACCAGCTGTTAGGCTTTCTGGGAGTTGAAGGCCCAAAATATCTAGGGACCCCAGGTTGAGAACCACTGCCCTAAACCAATGTTTCTCACCATCTTTTTAGTTACCTCCATATTTAAACGGGAAAAGGTTGGAGGAGTTGCTGCCCATCAAGCCTTCTACAAGCGAATTCTTTTCATGGCGGCTTCCTCTAACTTTAAGAATGTAAGACTGTGTGCATTAGCTGTAAGTTCTGATAGGATTGGGGTTCCTTCCTTCCAAATAGCCCTGATTAAGATAGCGCTATTGATTTACTATTCCACCAACCTCACTTTCTATTTCGTCTTGAGGATATAATAAGCATCTGTCTCCCTTTATCCTGACTGATGCACATTTAGATTTCTCAATCCTTGGTTACTTAAGGCTCTCCACTTCCTGTAACATCAGCTCCTGAGCTTGAACATGTTGCAGTTTGGATATTTATCACACTAGAGAATGAATTCACTTTAAACCTGGTATCTGCCTCCTGTAGAATTCTGGCGTTTGTAATTTAATGAGGCTGTTAAAGGTTTCTCCCTAAACTACAAATTCCAGAATTCTGCAGGAGGCAGAAACCAGATTTAAAGTGGATTCCTTCTCTCGTATGATGAAGTAGTTAGACAAACATTCCTAGAACCTCCAAAACAGCATGATTACGGGTAGAATCATAGAATCATAGAGTTGGAAGAGACCTCATGGGCCATCCAGTCCAACCCCCTGCCAAGAAGCAGGAAAATTGCATTCAAAGCACCCCCAACAGATGGCCATCCAGCCTCTGTTTAAAAGCTTCCAAAGAAGGAGCGTCTACCACACTCCGGGGCAGAGAGTTCCACTCCTGAACGGTATAATTGTTTTTTTTGTGTGTGCCTTCAAGTCATTTCTGACTTATGGCAACCCTAAGACAAATCTATTACAAAGTTCCTGGCAAAAATTGTTCAAAGGTTTTATGCCTTTGCCTTCCTCTGAGGTTAAGAGAGTGTGACATACCCCAGGCCACATCACAGATTTTTATGGCCAAGCAAAGATTCAAATCCTGTTTTGTTTTTGTTTTTTTTTGTGTGTGTCCCAGTTGAACACTTGAGCCTTTATACCACACTGGCTGTTCTAGCATAACTTACCAGTGCTTTACTAAAGCAATAACTAAAACATTTTTTCTAATGCTAATTGGGAACTCACTTTAGGGAAATTGCTAAGAAAATGTAGTGAATGAATAACTTAGCTAATTAATTAGCAAGATAATTCCAAGCTCTAACTTTTTAATTAAAAGTCAGTGGAGTTAGCAAATCAGGTGTTTAAATGTGGAGACTGCCCAGTTTGGGACTTTCTAGGCAGAGAGTGTAAAGATAGAACCACTTGCTTTGTGGTGTGGTGGTGCTTGACAGTAAAAGAATAGTTCTTATCATCTCCTTCCTATAGTTGTCCTTCATCTTGTGCAGAAGGGAATGGCTATACAGAATTTTGTATAGGAAACAAGGAGAGTCTGAGCTGCATTTTTCTAATGTTCTGTATTCTTTCACAGTATTTTAGTTGGGAGCAGTAGAAAATGCATCACCATGTTTTCTCCCACCTGTCTCTAACTCTTGGGGTAGGCACCTACTTCTTGCCTGATACAATGTTGATAGTAAGAGTGGCCACTCAAAGGGGATGACAAGTCCTTCTTATGGACAGCATACAGTTTCCTGGTATAGGCAGATTGATTTATTTTCCTTCCAAATATATTGGCTGGAGCAGTATTTTATCAGAGATTTACCCCTCAATTTGTTTTGCATCTAGTTATGGGCATCGTTTTTCAATTGCATGGAGTTGAGGATCCATGACATGGACTAGGCATGTTAACCCGCATTTAATTGCACCCTCTAGGATAGGATTTTTCAGTTAGGATTCTCTGGAACCCTAGAGTTCTCTGATAAGTCACTGGGGGTTCTGTGAGAAATGGAGATTGAAAAAAATATTATTTTAAAAACTGGAGCTATAGTGATGTTTAGAAAATTGTATACACCTTTAACAGTTAATACTAGATATGGTAAATACATAATATTATAAATCAAAGTTACAAATTTGTTCTTTAATTGCAATTTTATGTAAGACGTTCAAATTGTCATCCCTGCAATTCACTGCTTGCATTGTTAAAGCGCAGAATTGCAAACCTCACTTAATGTTGGTCTTATACATACGTGATACCCTGTTTACCCAAAATAAGACAGTGTCTTATATTAATTTTTGCTCCTAAAGATGCACTACGTCTTATTTTCAGGGGATATCTTTATTTTTCCCATGAAGAAGAATTCACATTTATTGGTGAACAAAAAAAAATATGAATATTTATTATATACTGTGCAGTAGTTGTCAGTATATAATAAATATACTGGGCCTCACACACAGGGCCACAAAAAATAAGGGTTGTCAAGTACCTAGCTCCCACACACTGTCTGGAGAATGTAACCATCTCCCACAGCACGTGCTGGACCACTTGTACAGCAGGGCAGCATTGCAGCTTCCAGCCACCAGGGAGAGCATGCTTCCAAACAAAAACTTTGCTAGGTCTTACTTTCGGGGGAGGCCTTATATTTAGCAATTCAGCAAAACCTCTACTAGGTCTTGTTTTCAGGGGATGTCTTATTTTCAGGGAAACAAGGTACTTCTCAACTATTGGAATCTTTAATCCTATTGATTGCGTATACAATTTTTTCGGGATACACTCTATCTCTAAAATTACACTTCTCCTGCTACATGTTTCGGTTTTCTCAGATGCGGTCTAAATATTTGAATGATTAAGTTTAAGCTATACTTACAACTGCGATTGGCCTCAACCCTAATTAGCCTTCAAAAGAGTGAAACATGCTGTCAGTAGTAGCTTATAAGAACATAACAAGAGCCCAGAGCATATCTAGACCAACATTTTGTTTGGAGGCTGCCTCAATGGGTGCAACTATATCCCTCTTGTGCTGTCCAGAAATTGTATGTTTATCCAGCTTCTTGAGTACACCAGTCATAATAGATAAGAGTCATATGTATATTTTGATAGTACTTACTTGATTATAAAATGTCATTATTTTGATACTAATAGTATCATGTTAACATTTTAATAGTTTATATTTTCTTCCTTTTAGGTTTTAACATTGAAGCTGTATCATCATGAGAGAATCACAAGGAATGTCCAGGAGTATCTTGGATAATGAATGGAAGAGGACAAGAAAGCAAAAAGAGTGTGGCATTTAAAAAGGATTTAATGTTTGGAGATCTTGCCTGTGATTCACCTGGAACAATGATACTTATTTTCTCAAAATGCAAATTAACTTATACAATGATCAATTTGGAGTCACACTGTTGAACTAAGCAAAAAAAAAAAAAACCCCTCTCTTCCTGGCCAGTAACAGAGCATTGATGGATTATGATTTTCCCAAGCTGGAAGCATTCATTTTTACTCAACTAGACTGTCCGTATGACTATATAAAGAATAAAGCATTTCATACTTAATATTAATCAGTATGGGCAACTGACTTGTCAGCAAAATGGGAGATTTCATGGAGTGAGCCAGAAATTTCCCAATGCACTTTGTACACGCTGGGAATTGCTGTACTGTATGGCCGTCTTCTGGAGGCCATGAAGACATATAAAATGATATCATCTCACTGTTGATATCTTTGAAGAGTCACAAGCAGAATTTTAAAAATGAATGGAAGCAAGGAATTTGACGTTGGGGACAAAGATGGAGGGCTACCGACAGTACAGGTCCCAGTTGGCTGGCAACGGAGGGTGGAGCAACATGGAGTACTCTATATTAGGTAAATAATAATTATTATATGTGTTACAGTATTTTTAAATGCCAAATAAGTAATTCTGTGAGTTTCCTTGATAGCTAAAAATCTCCTCTAGCCCTAGAAGGCATTCATTTGTGCATCAGCATTTAGATTATATTGTGCCGCCCTACAGTTGATTAGGTTTTTAACTGACTGCCCTATGTTTTGATGAAAACATAGGCTCAGATGAAAAGCTATACATTTGAATGCTGTTTTTATAAGCAGCATTATTTCTTCAAGAAAATTAGTACATCAGTAAGATGCATAGACTAGATTCCTGACATGCTGGCTTTTCAATGATGGAAAGAAGTATGTGTATGTGTGTGTCTGTATAGGATGAGGCACATTCAAACATGTTACATTTCGTCTACCACCTGGTATAATACGTAGTTTGACCTTTAATAGCTGTTTCTTGTTGATTCACAATTGCCAATGCACACATTTGGAAGTGAATGGGAATTTGGGCAGCATGCAGGTTATATTTCTTACATTTTTTTCCATGTGGCAGCCAAAAATGGCCCATACTTGAATTAATAAGAGAGCCACTGTGATCCTCCCAATGTTTAACCACTTCTTGAAATAAGTTCCTGAAATGCCATTAAGTGCATCACTTGCTACCATTCAATATCACACTGTTTGTTGCAGGGAAGTGCAGAAGAAATCATGTCAAATTTTGAATAAAGGCAACCTCAGGCAATGGTGGCTTGGGAAGACTGATTTTTTTTTTCAAACTCTACACTTGCACACTTCTATAATGTTAATGAAGCCTTTTATTTTTCATAAAAAATAATTCATATTTACAATTTATAAGATTCTAGTTTAAAACACCCTCAGAAAGACAAAGTGTTTAAAAATGGATTTTTATTGAGAAGTGACATGTTCCTCCCAATCCTTCAAAAATAACATATAAAATGATTAAAAATGCTGAATGCTTAATTGAAAATACTGAATAGTTAATTCTGTAGTTTTGGTCACTTTATATCATGAGCAAGTCATGTGTGTATTATACCAGGGTATTTGTAATAGTGCTATTGAGCAGAGATTCTGCTTAGTGTCCACTAAGGTCCCTTTCAATCCACACATTTATTGTGCTATGATTCTGTTTTAATGCTGTGCTTGCATCCTGTGGGAGGTTGTGGCTCTATGTTTGTAGCATATTGTCAAAAACAGGAGCCTGTTCTATCCATGAATCATGGCAACTGCACATTTTTAGAGGCTGCCAATGTCAAAGTGAGTGGACCATTGTACAGGATGCGAAACCTTCCTTTGTTCTATTCCCAGCTAAACAACCTCTACCTTGGACTAGTTCTTCTCCCAAATCCAACAAAACTATCAATATTTTGTGGCGTAATGTAAAATAACCACATGTAGTTCACGTTTAATAAGCCCACACATTGCCTTGCCAGAGAAAGAAAATATGGCACGCAGTAAAGAACAAGTAGTTTATTCTTCTGAAATCAGAACAACATGTGTACAATGTGATCAGTTGCATCAACTCACTAAATGTTCTTTTATAGGAGATTTAAAGTGGTCTTTCTTTGTCCATGTGGAGAAACTCCTTCAGCAGCTAATGAAGCAAGAGCACACTCTAAACTGTGTCTCTCTCTGTCTCTCTGCACTTGCAGAGCTCAAGCTTGAACAAAAATGTGACAGTAACAAAAAGTGCCAGGCTCAGTTATCTTCCCGAGCATTGCACTACCAATCAGCTTCATGCATCATCTTTTTTACAGTTGACACACAGACACTAATTCCTTGCATGTTCCAACATATTTGAAGAGAGTGGGTAGACCAAGTAAAGCATGACAGAAGCACTCTCCAACTTCATATTTCCCCTATGCAAGATTTATTTACTAGACGTTTGTTACATAAGGACACAGAACATTATATAGACAATCTAACCAACACAGTATCATTGCACATAAGAATTTACACAAGTAAGCATAATCTAGAATCCGAGAGTTGGAAGAGACCACAAGGGCCCACCCAGTCCAAACCCTGCCATGCAGGAATACAAGCTTAAATGTGTTGCCTTTTTAAAGGAAAAAAATCACCACTTGAAATCAGAGATAGAGGCAAAGAGTGGAACTTTACCTTTCAAAACTAATAAACTACCATTACAGTTGCACAGTCCCTTACAAGATCAGTTGTACATTCCCTTATAGTTTTAATATTTAAAGAGTAACTTGACTTTCCCCTTGTTCAGAAGTGAAGTTTTTTCCGTTAGCTCTTTTTAAAATGCTGTACTTCATAGTGGTTAAAAAGTGATGTGGTACATCAGTGGCATCCAGGTGTTTAAGACTCCCAACTCCCAGAACCCCTGAGCAGCTTGTCCAATGCTCAGGAATTCTGAGACCTAAACCCAAAACACCTGCAGGGCCATAGGCTGGACATCACTGTACTCTCTGATTATCAAAGCAACTAAAAGCAATGTGTTGTCAAAGGCTTTAATGGCTGGAATCATTGGGTTGCTGTGAGTTTTCTGGCCTGTATGGCCATGTTCCAGGAGCATTCTCTCCTGATGTTTCACCCACATCTATGACAGGCATCCTCAGAGGTTGTGAGGATTGTTGTAAACTAGGCAAGTGAGGTTTATATATCTGTGGAATGTCCAGAGTGAGAGAAAGAACTCTTGTCTGCTGGAGGTGTGAATGTTGCAAGTAAGAGAACAGTTTTTGTGTTGTTGTTTATTTTGTCTGTTAGGTTTAATTATATTGTGTTAAATGGTCTAATGTGTTTATCTTGATTTAATTGTCTGTATAGTTTCTTTCCGGCAATTGAATGTTTGCCTTACATGTTGGAAACATCTCTGAATCCCTTTGGGGAGATAGGGTGGTATACAAATAACATGTTATTGTTTTTATTATAATTAGCCACCTTGATCATCATTTAATGGCCTTGCAGCTTCAAAGACTGGCTGATTCCTGCCTGGGGGGAATCCTTTGTTGGGAGGCATTAACTGGCCATGGTTGTTTTATGTCAGGAATTCCTCTGTTGTTTGAGTGTTCCTCTTTATTTACTGTCCTGATTTTAGGGTTCAGGAATCGCCCAGTCTTTGAAGCTGCAAGGCCATTCAGTGTTAATCAAGGTGGCCAATTGCAACATTCACACTTTCCTCAAGCAGACAAGAGTCCTTTCTCCCACCCTGGACATTCCACAGATAGATAAACCTCACTTGCCTAGTTTACAACAGACCTCACAACCCCTGAGGATGCCTGCCATAGATGTGGGCAAAACATCAGGAGAGAATGCTTCTGGAACATGGCCAGGCAGCCCAGAAAACTCACAGCAACCCAACTAAAAGAAGTTACACTTGCGTTTGCAAAAAAAGTGAACTTACAGTCATAACAAGGGATAATTTCACTCCTTTTCTGTTATCATTTTTATTATTACTGTAATGTAGCTTCATTACTGAAGATAAATTCTGGCTAGTTACTTTAAAGCTGTAGGTAGGCTTTTCCATAGCATAAGAAATGCCATATAGCTGGATGACTATATAGTAGTTCTGCAGTTCTTCCATGCATTTTAAATTATGCAGTGCATTATACATTAATAGAAAACCTGTTATCCTGCAATGCCCAAGAGAACAATATAACAACTTTGAAATATTGAGCTTTGAATTCTTAGGGATAAAATGTAGGGTAGATGAAAAAAAGCTAAAATATTGTTTTAAACAGAAATCGAATTTTTCCTACTTTTTATGAGCACTGCTGCAGGGTGGAGAACATCTTATTTTTAGAAATTGCTACTTGTATATTGTACATAGAAACTGTTTTCAAGTAATGCTGATTAATGTATTTGTCTTTACTTCCTTATTTTTTCAGTCCTAGTGGGTCTTTATTGTCCTGCTTGGAACAGGTTAAAACATACCTGCTGACTGACGGCACATGCAAGTGTGGTTTGGAATGTCCCCTCATCCTTCATAAGGTAAAATGAGATGTTAGAAATGTGTACCTACGTGTTCTTGACAACTGTTGACATAGATTAGAACACTTGAAGGTTTAAATCTCTTGTTTAGTGGATGCAATTTTAAAAGACATTCTGTTGAAACAAAAGGAAGACTGCATGTTTAATAGGTCATGAAGACTGAGTTTATCTCTTTGATTTCAAGACACAACTTATTTCTGCATTCTGTGGTGGCACTTAAAGGTAAAAACAATCTATTTTTCTGTCTTCTTGAGCATCAAAGCAGAGCTTCACATTAACTGGTAGCTCTACACAGTTAAATTTGAGAGAGAAAAATGAGTCAAGGCAATTGCTGCGTAGACATATGCACTCATGTAAAAGTTTTTGGGGTTTTTTGCCAAAATGGGGGAAAAATTCAGAGCCTTATATTCATCTGGCATCTTATTCATTTCAATAATGGTAATTTCATTCGCAGGGATCACACTGGAAGAGAACTGTAGCTGTCCTCCCCTCTGTCTCAGCAGTGGGGGCAACACTTTCCGTCAACTTTTCCAAATCTGATATACTATTAGTGAACTCATTCCCCAAGTATGGATTCTCATGCAGCCAAAATGTTACCATCTGTGCAGAATAGGGAATTACTGTATTAATAAGCCTGAAAGAGCATCCAGTTTTGTGATGCTATCTCTAGAACTAAAAGAAACAAATAAAAATCTTAATGAGGACTGAATACGTTCTGTGAGTGTGAAAAGGTGATTGGCTCCATGTAGAAAAATTATAAGGTTGGGGAGATAGGGGTGAGTTTTCCTAAAAAGAGAATGAGGCACTGCAGACCACCTAGGATTTCAAATAGGTGTACTTTTAATGGATTTTCCCTCTAAATCTGCTGGTTTTTTTTTTTTTTTTTTTTTTTACTGCCATGTAGAAGGAAATGCAAAATACCATTTGAAGCACTATAACTTTCTGGAGAATCATTCAAATAACCATAATCATATCCTACAACCAGGGTAGGGAAAGTGCAACCCAGAGTTGCATGACCACACACCAGACACCGCTACTTCACCCTGGAAGATCTTTTTTCAGAACCATAAATGACTTGTAGTTACTTCTAGTTATGTAAAGAGCTGCTCCCGGGCTTAAAAGAGCATTTCAGCCTTATAGAATGGGGAGAAAAATCTTAGAACAACAGTGTTGTGGTGAAGGGTCTGTGTTCATTTGAGCAACCTGAAAGGGGGCCAAAATAAAATGTATTTGTTTATTTTATTTAAACGTTTACATTCCACCCTTCTCACCCTGCAGAGGACTCAGGGTGGAGCACATGTATACGGCAAGCATTCAATGCCAGGACATAAAAGCATAAATATATGCAAATATTAAAATCACTTCTATCCACTTTAAAATCAGTTGCTTAAAAACCATCTCAGGACACCATTCTATTATTGCCCATGATTAGTTGTCCCCAAGGCATCAGGAAAAGGGAATTGTGCACAAAAAGACAACTGAGAATAAAGAAGAGTATGTTTTGTCAATATTAACTTCTTTTGATGTTCATCATATAACCTACTTTTACTGTTTCAGTATCCACTGGAATATTATCCACTGAAGCATTTTGACTCCACTGAAGATTGCTGTTGTTTTGTGTTATCACCAAAACAAATATGTTCCTAACACTGTGGTACTGACATTATTTTTAAGGTATTTAATTTTGATCCTGGAGTTGCTGTGACACAAAGAACAGCTGAAGATGTCAAAGCGGATGAAGATGTCACTAAGCTATGCATTCATAAACGGAAAATTATTGCTGTGGCCACACTTCATAAAAGTATGGAAGTGCCCCACCCATCACTGGTTCTAACAAGTCCTGGTGGTGGAACAAGTAAGTTGGGCTTTTCTTTGTTCTCTGTGGGAAATTCAAGGTTGAAGTGCATCATTCTGGAAGTAATGTGGAAATTGACTTAATGTACAAATATATTACTACATACAATATCAATATTTGGGGGAGATGCAGCATATAAACAAAAAAGAGACATTGAGCAATTGAAACGTACAGGGAGATTGTAATGCCTTTATACAATAGATCTTGTAGAATCACCCCACCAGTTGTAATTCCGTCTCCCTACCCTAAACTCCTGGAAACAGAATCAACCTAGTGCAAAATAGGCAGTTGCAGAAGGATGGGAACAAGGGTCTGGAATCTACTTTCAGTTTGTACATATGGGGGGGGGGGTGCGCTTTTGGCCAATTTTTAGCTGTTTGGGGGCTTACAGGATTTTAAAAGGGAAGCTGCCACATTGGATGGCATTTCTTTGGATTGTGTTTTCAAGTCATCTCTGACTTATGGCAACCCTAAGGTTTCATGGGGTTTCTGTCTTGGCAAGATTTGTTGAGGGGATGGTCACCTTTGCCTTCCTCTGAGCCTAAGAGTATGATTTGCCCAGGGCCACCCAGTGAGTTTCCACAGAAGAGCAGGAATTTGAGCTCTGCTGTCCATAGTCTGATTGTTTCAAGCGCTCTTTCTCCAGTTAAAACTGGGGAAGGACTGGGGTTCTTGGGATGTGAAGAGGAAAGTTTCAAGGACTGTATCATAGCTTGGCCATGGGGCACTTGCTTTCCATGCAGAAGATGCCCGCTTTAGTTTCTGGCTTTTGCAGTTAAAAGAATCTTGCGTAGTTGTTTTGGATGATATGTGACTGATTGTGAAGATGCACTTTCCCAATGTAAGAGAAATTAATGCATCATTGCACATATTATATCTGTTGAGGAAATGCTATAACTGTGCATTCCAGCACTGAATTAGGATCCACTGATGGCTTACTAAACATTTTAACTTTCTGGATCAGGTGGTTTGGAGGGTCTGGAGTATCTGTTTTCACGCCTACAGACAGAGCATGTTCACTGTCAGTGTAAGGAGGAGCGTTGTCAGAGAGATGGGAGAAGAGGTCTCTTCCCTGATTTCTCCAGGAACTTGAAGGGTGAATGGCCTTACTACATTCATCTGTCCACATTTGGCTTAGAATAGTGCTCTAAGTCAAGAGCAGTCATCAGTTGTGAAACAATATATTGTATGCTAAATTGGTCACACACTTGGGAAAAGGCAGTAAGCAAATAAATATATATTCACTAGACTGAGCAGACTCAAAATATGTCAGCATTTTGTGGCTTAAAACATTTTGATAGCTGCTGTAGAATCAGCCTTCTAGTTCTAACATTGTGTGATTCATCCTATATGGCTTTTCCTCCTTATTCCTTTCTTCCTGGCAATTGTTTTGAAGGTAAATTCAGGCATGTCTTAGAGAGTCACATTTTGGGTCCAGAGACATTGCCTTGGCAAAAGGAATTTGCACTTCTGAGGATTAATGATGAAAAATTCAGCATGTACAGAAGAGAGAATTTGTTAGTGCTGGTCTGGAGGCTGGCAGTTCATTAAGGAATCAAGCAGGAACGAGTCTGTGAGAAGTTCAGCTTGCACACGAGTAATAAATGGATCCGCCTGAGGAGTCAATAGACCCTGCTGGCACCCAGCATTAGACAAGCCCCACAGGGCCAAAAGGTGCAGTCGTCTGCATGGGGTAGAAGAGTAGTACAGCAGAAATTGGGCCAGCAATTTCCGCACTTTGAAGTGGCCACAACCAGAAATAGGAAGATTAGTGAAAAGGTACTGGAATCCCTAAAAAAAAAAGATGACATTTAATTCAATTCTGTTAATTCTAATCTGAAATTTAAATGCATATCACGTTGTTGTTATGTGGCTTGAAGTAATTTATGTGCAGACCCTAAAACACACTTAGGGTCCGGACAGATGCGTTCAGAGGAGGGTTACTATTTGATTCTGTGACTTGCCCAGTAGGTTTCCATGGCTGACTGGGAACCTAAACCTTTATTTCCAAAGTTTTTGTCCAACACACAAAGCGCTACACCTCTTAGTTACATCTAGAATTCTTGCCAGAATGAAGGTAAAAAAACCTGTCCTTGAATTTTCTTTCTCTACTTATTCCTGTTTTGAACCTATTAGAGAGAAAAAAAGCAACATAAATTTTAGGAAATCCATGGGTGTTAGCAAGTGTTGCAATTCATTAGCTGGTCTTTCACCTTCCCACTCTTAAGGCTTACATCTGTTTCATAGTCATATGAGAGTAGCAGTTTATTTAATCCAAGAATTAATGGTAGTAGACCCTTCACCTCTTTGATGTTTGATTGAACAGCAGCAATACAATCCAGAAGAAGATAGTTAAGTCAATTGGGTTTTTTCCCTATTTAAATCTGTATATTTCATTTTTTTAAAGTCAAAATCATCTAGTCATGTGATAGATTAAGAAGAATTTTTATATCCATCTCTGTTTACTAAAATAACTGATACTAATAATTAGATAGATGCTTACATTCATAAGTTATTTTTAAATAACTTATGAATATTGTTTTCAATCCCCATTTGGACAAAAATGGGCTATATCTGGAATAACTAGCACTGCACTTAAATCCTTAACTGCCTCAGAATTCAATAATAATCAATTGCAGTTCTATTACTTAGAAAATCAAAATATGCTTCTTATTTAAAAAAAATCAGGTTGGGCATATGTGTGTAACTGTAAAAGATTTTAATATACTGGTTTATTTTTGTGCAAATATACCACACTCTCTAAAACATTGAAAATGAATTGTGTTGCATTCAAAATGAGTCCTGATATTATGAATCCTGTTCATTTTGCCCACGCTTCCTGGCTACTTTTTAAAGATCCTGCATCTTAGAAAGTCATGTTCTTAAGCTAAAAATATAGTTTGTTCATTGGTTCTAGTCACTAACCACAACAGCATAGAGAGTGCAGTGTACATAAGCTCCCATACCTGGAAACTCTGGTTTAAGACCTGAAGCACTTTTTAGAATTGTGTATGTCACATACTCTTATAATACCTGGATGCAGTTTTGTCCAAAAAATGTAATTCTGGTGTTTCATTTAGTTTTGAGACATACTAATTTTCATTTACTCTACTTCAGGTGCAACTCCATTAGTACTGTCACGAGCAGCAACTCCAAGATCAATAAGGAATAAATCGCATGAAGGAATTACTAACTCTGTGATGCCAGAATGTAAAACTCCATTCAAGTTGATGATGGGGGCCTCGAATGCCATGGGCCGGCTATATGTGCAAGAGATGACTGCAAACCAGCAACAAGAACTTCATTCTGTCTATCCAAGGCAGAGATTGGGGAGTAATGAACATGGGCAGAAGTCTCCATATCGTGGCAGTCATGGAGGAATGCCTAGTCCAGCTTCATCAGGATCACAAATATATGGTGATGGCTCAATATCTCCTAGGACAGACCCACTTGGAAGTCCAGATATTTTCACAAGGAGTAATTCCAGTTTTCATGGAGCACCTAACTCCAGTCCTGTTCACATGAACAGAACTCCTCTGTCTCCACCTTCCGTAATGCTACATGGTTCTCCTGTGCAGTCATCTTGTGCAATGGCTGGAAGGACTAATATACCTCTTTCCCCAACCCTGACCACAAAAAGTCCTGTAATGAAAAAGCCCATGTGTAATTTTACAACTAGTATGGAAATGCCACGAGCAATGTTTCACCACAAACCACCTCAAGGCCCTCCACCGCCACCTCCATCTTGTGCTCTTCAGAAAAAGCCATTAACATCAGAAAAGGATCCACTTGGCATTCTTGACCCCATTCCTAGCAAACCAGTGAATCAGAATCCTGTTATCATTAATCCAAGTACTTATCATTCAAATATCCTCTCTCAGGTACCTGTGATGAATGTAAGCATGCCTCCAGCTGTTGTTCCTCTACCAAGTAATCTCCCTTTGCCAACTGTAAAACCTGGTCACACAAACCATGGGGGTCATCTGCAAAGAGTTCAGCACTCTACTTCCACGTCTCTCTCCCCATCACCGGTAACATCTCCAGTTCATATGATGGCATCTGGAATTGGAAGGATTGAGGCTTCTCCCCAAAGATCACGCTCATCTTCCACATCATCTGATCACGGAAATTTCATGATGCCTCCAATAGGACCACAGTCATCTTGTAGTAATATTAAAGTCCCCCCTCGATCACCAAGGTCAACAATAGGGTCTCCAAGACCATCTATGCCATCAAGTCCATCTACAAAGACTGATGGTCTCCATCAATACAAGGACATCCCTAACACATTGATTGCTGGAATGAGTAATGTATTAAATCCTCCAAGCAATGCAGTTTTTCCATCTGCATCTGCTGGAAGTGGGCCCATGAAAAGTCAACCTGGCTTGCTGGGAATGCCTTTAAATCAGATCTTGAACCAGCACAATGCTGCCTCCTTTCCAGCTAGTAGTTTACTCTCAGCAGCAGCCAAAGCACAGCTAGCAAATCAAAATAAACTTGCTGGTAACAATAGCAACAGCAGTAGCAATTCTGGAACTGTTGCTAGTAGTGGCAGCAATGATGGACACAGCACTTTAAACACCATGTTTCCTCCTACTGCCAACATGCTTTTACCATCAAGTGAAGGGCAAAGTGGTCGAGCAGCACTACGAGATAAACTGATGTCTCAACAGAAAGACCCTTTGAGGAAAAGAAAACCACCAACCACTACAGTGTTGAGTTTGCTTAGGCATACTCAGTTGGATAGTTCTGGAGCTTCTAAATCGGGACCGGATTTGATAAGAAAGCAGAACCAAGGTTCATTTCCCATTACATCTATGTCCCAGTTACTTCAGTCCATGAGCTATCAAAGTTCTCATATGAGCAGCAATAGTACTTCTGGTTGTGTGAGCTCAAATACTGTTTTGCCTTGCTCTGCTAACCAGCTGCATTTTACAGACACTAACATGAACACTGGCACTCTTCAGAACCCATTGGCACATGATTTACCTTTACGAGGGGAAAGTATGCACTGCCAGAATTCAAACACTAACTTTGGCCATGGCTCTAGCCCTGGCCCAAACAACCATCTTGCAGGTTTAATAAATCAGATGCAAGCTAGCGGAAATTGTGGGGTACTCAACCAACCTGGAATGGCTTTAGGAAATTCATTACATCTGAACCCCACCCAGTCGCGAATTCAAGCACCCACTACACCAGTGATACCAAACAACATTGTGAGCAGTTGCAATCAGACTAGTCCTGAAACAGGTAAGCATTTTTCTGACAGTAGCCTCTGAAAAATATGAATCATAGTATGCCTGGTGTTTCTGTATATATTTCTTTGGAAACATGAATATGTTGCTTTTGGCAATCCAATAGCATTACCAAATACACAGCTTTAGAACAAGGAAGGGCTAGATATGTTCTACAGAATGAGATGCCAAATTGTAGTAGCATTAAAATACCTCCTTTTGCCTGTGTAAGAAAGTAACATAAAAATCTTAATCTTTCTTCCTCCTTTGAGTTTATTTTATTTAAAATATTTCTGTCCTACTCTATGTCCAGAAAACTCAGGGTAGCATACAATAATATTCATTAATAGCTACTATCCTTATTCTGTACTTGTCTTTTTCCAACATGGAATCACTATACATAATCATATACTCAAAAGATGGAAAAAGTTCAGCCCCCTACCTACCTGAATTTGAGTAGGGCAGTGTGGTTTAAAACACACAAAAAATTCTCTCCCTACTTCCATGTGTCAAATATGGAACAGTAGGTGGATTAATAGTAATGAGAGGGAACAGTTAGTGGAGACACTAATTGTGTTATAGGTGTTTTCATATTTGACCTTATTCAGATGTGAATAATCATCTGTTTCTCCTCTATTGTTGAAGTTCTGCATTCAATTTCTAAGACAAATCTATTGATTTTGATTTCAGTTTTCCATCATTTTGATAGTTCATATGTTCAACATTTGCATTGTCCTTCCTTGTAATATTGAATGTAATTGTCCTCTGCCTATCAGTTAGGCAATGAAGTGAAGGCAGTGGCAACAAAGGAGTAGTATCTGAATACTTATGACTCACAAGGTTCAGAAAAAGTAAAAGAAAGGAGATAGAGCACTATTGATAAAGAGGAGGAGGAGGAGGAGGAGGAAGAGGAAGACGACAATGACTTTATTTCTATCCCGCCCTATCTCCCCAATCAGGACTCTGGGCAGTTAACAACATACTAACATACTTTAGATAACACTACGTATGCTCAATGATGGGAAATAACATTTGAGCATTAAATGAGACCAAGAGAATGAAAAGTTGGAGAGGGAACAGAGGTGATTGCTCAAGTTTCCTAGCAGGTTTATTGGTTAGGACATGTCTGGATAGGAGACATGCATCAGGTCATTTTTTCAAGTCTACATTTTCAAGTTTCTTCTTTGCCACTTGACAGCATATATATTTAATTTCTTCAGGATGGAGCTGGGCATAGATATGATTATATGATATGATATCAATTTATGTTTCTGTTTCAAAATAGTACAATTAATTGTAATCGGACTTCTTTTCAATGATGTCTTCAAAAATCCTCAGTGATAAAGCTGCTAGGGGAGGACTCAATGAGGACATTGCCCACTAAATGAGAATGTGTCTTTTCATGAAATTTTCCTTAGTTTCCCACATTTCTAGCATTGCAATAATGAAAATTCTGTTGAGCATTTAGAAATATAATTTAGACATCCAGATAAAAGGAGAAGGCAAATTGATCTGGGGAATGCAAACACTGCAAATGCAGAAGTTCTAGATGCAAATGATTTCCAATGTCTCACTCTGTATAATGCTAGAAATGTGGGGACGTGGGGCGGGGTGGCGGCAAAATTGTCATTTGGAAGGCAGTAACCTCAGTCTCCCCTTGAAAATTCTGTAAAGTGTAAATGTTTACCGGTGCCCAAACAAAGCCCAGTGAAGCAGAGTATTATGAGAAGCAATTATAAGAAATTATGCATTTTCTGTTTTTGGAGAAAGCAGCAGGTTTCACTTCTCTTCCTTATCTATAAGTAAACACACTTTTTCTTAGCCTCTTTGCATACTATTTTTGATTTTGTAATAGGATTTTTGAGCCAGATGCTTCTGACAACTGTGTCTGGGCTAATCTTCGAAAAGAGGTGGGCATGCATTTTACTGCCTTTCAGATATATGGCTGGGGACAAAAATCACATGGTCCAGGAAAATAAAGCTTTTTCTAATATATGCTATGTATATTTTCTTTGCTTTTGGCCTGTTTGGGTTGGTGAGGCAGCAGTCTAAAGTCCTAAAATCACCAAGTTATAAAACAATGCCAATTCTATATTCTAAGGGTAGTGTTGTACTAGGTAGTAGATCAGAAGTTTTTCATTGAACCCATCCGCCATAGACCAGAAAAGAAATTCCACTTCAACATTAGGAAGACCTTCCTGCTGGTTAGAGCTGTTCAGCAGTGGAATAGGCTGCCTGGGAATGTGGTGAAGTCTCCTTCTCTGGAGGTCTTTAAGCAGAGTCTGGGTGGCTCTTGTGGTCTCTTCCAACTCTGATTCTATGACCATGTCACTTTTACCAACTGGAGGTTGTGCTTTAAATGTTCCAAAACGTACTATAGATGGAACCTGGGTTCTCACTTTACTCATTGTGGAACTTAAATAAGTCACTCATGATTGAAGAAAACTATCAGCTGTCATCTGTGAATCAGCACTAACTGATGATCATTTGCTTTCATAAGAATTTTTGCTTCTGGTAGGAGTTAACTTTAACATGGATATAACACTGCGTTATATCCATGGAGATATGTCTGCTCACAGAACAAACTCTCTTGATAAAACATACTCCTTTTCATCTTGTGTGCTCCTCAAATATCCTCCAGAGAGTTGAGGAGCTCCTCAGGACAGATTTGGGGCATTGGGGTATGAAATGGAGAGAGGAGGAAGCAGGAGTCTGTTCAGATAACATTGGGTGTAACCTATTGTTTTCAATAAAGTAAAACTAAAGCAAAATACAACTGCAGTGAATTACTTGAAAGTAAGGATGTTGTCAACTGTTGACTTCAACAGGGGTGTGCTGTATGTTTCTAAAGATAAATATTTTTCTCCTATCCAACATTTTTCTTTGCTCCTAGTAGAGTTGGTGAAATCTGAACAACTGTGAGTGTTTATAGCTATGGCTACTGTACAATATGGTCACAGTATAATATAAGGGCTCATAATGTAATAGTTATATGTGTGTATAGATCAGAAAGCAGCATGATAATTTATATTCTACATTGAAATATTATGAGCAGCTATGTGATACCATGTGGTCATTGTAAGAAATCAGATATTTCTGGTTTCAGCCATATGCACAGAATCTTCTTTCAGAATATCTGTGAATAATTTCATATTTGCCCTTGAAACAGTGTTATAAAGGAACATCCATAATGTTTCAAAAGGATTAAAGAAAGCCGGATAGCTGTCATATTGAGGATAAAGTTCAATTTGGGAGAAAACAAATAAAGCCGAGTTGAGTGTCTCCTTTTTCTTCTTCTTCTGAAATCCAAATATTTAAGCTAGAAAGAAGTTAATGACAAGAGGCCTGGGGACATGAAGCAAAAGAAAAGAAGCTAGGGACCATCTCTTTCTTTCTGGTAACACCATTTGTGCATAATTTCTTGCCCAAGCAATATAGAGAAATGGCCTCATGATTTCTAGATGGACAGAGAAGGGAAGAGAGCCCAAGCCATTGATAGCATAGAGAATTCTTAAGATAACCGAAATTTTATTTAATCTTGAAAAATGATGTACTGTATAAAGAAAGGGGTCATTTGTCATATGGGAGCCAAAACCTAGATGAATTTGGAAAAAAAAGTATCAGGTAATTTCAGAATGCTGAGAAAGAAGATAAGTGCTTTACTAAGAATTCAAAAGACCAATTGCCGTATCTTCCCAGTGCATTTTAGTAGGAAGCCCTGATATCATTTTCCTTATTTTTTATTAGTCAGGATAGAATGATACAACTGAGAATCCATTAGAAATAGCAAACTTACAGTAGAATTGGAAGAACATTGCTGATATTGACATAATTGCTAGAAACAAATTTGGAAGTAGGAGATCAACGAACCGTTATGTGGTCGATGGTCAAGGATAGAAAGGATTCAGAGAGTGGAAGTGGGAGATCTGAGAACTGTGATGGTAGCAAAATAACTTATATGAACAATAATGAAGATATACTGAAAATATTCCATAGTATCGTATCCACTAGTTCTGTCAGCACAAACAAAAAAGTCTTCTGTAGCTTTCTTACAGGCATCAGAGACTAATTGTTTTTAGAGTCATTATTGGTTCTGAAGCAACTATCAAGTATGTGTGCACATATTTATATATTATATCCATAGTATACCTTACAAAATCTTGAAAGGTCTACCATCACCATAGGAAACTGAAAATATACAGGGACAAATAGAAGCAAGTATGGTTGCTGCATTCTAATATTTAGAAAGTGCTTTTGGACACGACTTTTAAGATGCAAGGCACCAAAGATACTGAACACTATAGCATTGCTTTTAAAATGTAGATGAACTTTTATATTGTGATGAAAATGCATATTCATATATTAGCATTCACATTTTTATTTATTTTGACATATTGAAAAATAGCTTGTATTAAATTGGCAATAGCTCATAAATATTTATTTCATTGCAACAAGACTACTTATTTTTAATCTTGTTGATAATTTTATATATGGACTTTAAGAAAGTATTGTTGAAGGCTTCTAGAACATGGCCATACAGCCTGAAAAACCTACAACAACCCGACTTGAAGAATCTCAAAACTTTCCATAGCATATATTCAGTATACTCAGCTATCAATATTTGAATAGAAACATTTGGAAAGTCATAGTAATATGGAAGCCAGCATGGTGTGGTGATTTGTTGAATTTTCACTTGGCCATGGAAACTGATTGTGTGACCTTATGCAAGTCATAGTCTTCCAGCCTCAGAAGAAGGCAGTAGCAAACCTCCCAACAAATATTACTAAGAAAACCCACATAGGGTCGCCTTAAGTCAGAAATGACTTATAGTCACACAATTTGTGTGACATATGCATACAAAATATCCGTATATGAACAAAGTAGTCTTTCCTGTGAATATCTTTTTAAAACATTATTAGGGAAGATTATGATAGTTAATATGCCTCAGTGAGATTTTTATTTTAATTTACTATGTAAGAGCATTTTCTCCCAAGATTGCCTATTAAAAACTGACTTTCATTGAACAAATACTTCTTGTTCTTTTCAGTTGTTTCAATTAACCAGAATAGCAAAGTAAGAGAATGTCAGAACTATCTTGAATAATAGGGTCATGATCCCAAAAGGTGTTTCCTATAACACAGTTGTCCATCTGCAGAATTTGGAGGTTACAGCCCCATAAAAGTTTCTCCCAGAAGACTGGTAAACCTTCCAGTTGCATTGTGGTGGCACAGAGAGAAAACACAGACAGTTCTGTTGCAGCAGTAGTCCGCTGAAAAGATCAGATTGGATTTAGTGTCCTTCTCCCCCTCCCCCCCCCCTTTGACGGACCTTAGGGACAGTTTGAAACTCCTTGCTCCCAACATTTTGATGAGATAGGAGACCAGCACTGATGGATAGTAGCTCAATGTTTTTCCTTCAAAACTCAGGAGTTTCCCTTCCTTTGTTGTGTTCCAGTTGGCTCTTAGCTTCCACACAGCTGTATAAAATCCCCATTGAACCAGATTATATGACAGTGTGGGCTCAGATAATCCAGTTCAAAGCAGATATTGTGTATTATCTGCCTTGATATTCTGAGTTATGTGGCTGTCTGGAAGGGCTCTTAGACTTACTTTGCTTTTTAGTATATCCATATGCAGGACACTAATAGGCATAGCAATCTAATAGAACAAGTAGTACTTGTACATCATATACTGATCTCATGTTTCCTTTAGTGAAACAGGAAATATTATTTGATTTTTTTCTTGTTAGTTTTCATCAAAAGGAAAAGTGTTTGGCAGTTCTACTGTTTGCTATCACAACTATTGTCAAATATTCTGCAAATATTTTAAACATACTAATTTTAAGTGTGGGTTATGTCACACACACACACACTGCCATGCTTTCTCCTTAGTCTCCTAGGGACTCAAATCTGCTGGAGATTAAGAGAACTGTGTAGAAGATCCCTAGCCTCTCACAAAAATAGGGTAAACAGAGTCCCTTACAAATACGTGTGTAAATTGGTTCAACGGGTATTTCTTTTTTTTCCGAAGGAACTTTGGGAACTATAGTCTCTTGATAGTCTCCAGGGATGACCAAGATTCCACTGAAATGACCAGCAAAACCAATATACATCTGCTCCTGACTAGTAGCATGGAAATATACTCTTCCAGGTTTATTAAAAGCTATATCTGTCCAAGAATCTCTGCTGAGTCACCACCATGTATTCAAGCACCTTTCCCAGAAATAGACAATTTGAAACTTGAAATTATTAAGTACAGTGGGATTCAGAAGACCGTTCTTCAGTACATATCTTTGCTCTCCATTTAAAAAGACCATAACTATTTGACTAGCTTTCTTAGCCAAGCTTTTTGTCACTACCATAATAATAGCATTGCCTTAATATTAGTGTTTAAATTACCAATAAGCCAAGTGTAAAGTTTATGAAAAACATTTTTTCATCTGAGCTATATATAAGCATTTTAGAGCTTGCTTGCTTGCTTGTTCTTCCAGATCAGAATTCCATGAATGAGAATGACATCAGTAGGAATGCCACAAAGATACAGGAAAACCTTATTCAGGCAAGAGGCTAGCTAGCTACAGACTTTAATATTGTGTTTTCTCCAACCATCCTAGGTGTCCTGCCATCCAGGAGCCACGTTGCACCATCATATGAGAAATCAAGTTACATCCACTATATAGCAATGTAGCATATTTCCTCAGGGAATTCTGTGTCCTGTGTACACTATAAAATCAGCAGTATTGGCAAGTGAGCTGATATAAGGCATTGATATCACACCTTCTCCAGCATTCCTAAGGATTACTATAGCTAAACCTAATACCATCACACCACTTGCTGGAAACTCATTCTCTTCCAAACCTCTCATTCCATCTCAGTCATGCAGACAACCAAAACTTTAACGTCGAAACAGATTTGTTTTCTTTCCCCATCTGCCTTTGCAACACCTTGCCAGATAAAGGTCTTAAGATATATTTTAGTTGCTTAATATGGACTTTGGATTTTTATGCATAATACAACTAACATATCTTTTCCAACATACCTTTTGAACATCTTGCCATCACCATATGATACATCTCCTTGTATGGTTAAATTGTCATAATCTATGGTAAGTCCCTTTGAGGATGTAGGAACTGAATCATCATAATAGAAATATTTCCAGTCAATGAATATTAATGGTTGAATGGCTTGATGTCACTAATATTTTTGAGCTTGATTTACATTGCGATCCAATCAAATCTTTTGTCTTGTTTGTTTGGAAAGCAGCAGTTAGAGAGCCAGTCTGGATTGTTTAATTTTGTAGGCATATTTAGTTCTGTGATGTTTAATCAGATTTAGAAATGAGTTTAGTTCTGTGTTGTTGTGTTTTGAGTCAGATTTCCCAAATACCGTTTCCATTTTAGTTTGACCTGGGCATGATAACTTCTTTCAGGCTTTCAGTGGGGAGATAGAGAGCTTAGGCCACTGAGCTTTGATGGAGAAGGAAAGTCAAATGCTAAAAGTGGCTTTCTGCTGGTATTTCTAAAGACTAAAGAAATATCAACTAGTACACTTGAGCCAGCAAGATCCAATTAGTTAATGCATTTTTCTCTTAACTTTAGTGGCCTTTTGATACTTTTAGCAGCTTTAAGTTTCAATTGTAAGAGAAAGAAGGGATAGAAATAGCATGGAATAGAATGAATATAAGGCTGCTGTGTATTCTACCCACATTTTCCTATGCCAGCTAAAAATGTATCTATGTATGTGTCCTGTGTTTCTGAGCTGTCCATTGGATTGCATCAACCTTACAGATTCCTCATACTAGGCTTAATTGAAAATGAAACGTCTTTACATTAAGTTGGATTTGGAGTTGTAATAATACAGAGGACTGAATTTTGTGTGTACTTCAGCTTCATCAACCCAGTGCAGTTTTGCACTGATTGTGAAGAAGCACAAACTGTGATTGATGCTTTCTTTGCTCAGCAGTTTGCCAGCTCTTATTAGAAAAATAAAATAATGCATTGCTGGCATCAAATTAACCTCCACTTTCTATATTTACATTTTTATCTACGGAAATTGCCCTGTTCTGCTACGTTAACACACAGCAATGCCCTTCAAAGCTCTCTGTATTAGGGGCAGCACCCCTGGCTCAACAAACAACACTTAGTTTGCATTCTATTTACATTACTTCAAATGAAAGTATCTATCAATCAAGGAGATGTAGAAAAACACATATTTTCAGACTCTAAGGCTTATAAATCAAATATGAAAGTGTTGAAAAGGGAAATGTTTAGGAACGTTCTTTAGGTGTCAAGGAAGTGAAAGAAGTGACTGTGTAAGTGGTGTCTATCTGCCAGCAGAAATCTGTGAATATGAAGCAGAGCAATTTTGCATAAGTGATTTCTAGCTGGATTTAAATGTAAGCAAGCTTGAAGTCATCAATGAAGCCCACTGAATGTCCTTAAGCAAAGGAAATAATGTGTGCCTTCCAAAAAAAGGTGAAGATAAAAATGGAATCCCACACACTCATTCATGTTCTGTCCTCTGATAATTCATTACTTGCCATGTAGATCAAGCCACTTGGTGGCAGTCTTGAGAGAAAAATTTATTTGCTCTCATAATCTCTCCTCTTACCTTTCCATATTATTTTACACCTTCCATATATTTAATCGTGTTATATACTATATGCGCAAGAAGAAATACAATGATTTGTTGACATTGCTTTCTTAAATAATGTCGTGATGTAAAATATTAATTATATGCCTTTTCTCTATTTCTCATTATTCCCTTTGTAATCATTATCAGTTCTGCTCTTATAGCCATTAACAAGTAGCTTAAATATCAGCCCCCTTGACAGCGAAGCAGAATGCTTATTCAGTGGTTATCTTCTGAAGATTGCATTTGCGTTTGATGAATTTTCTGTTTCCACATGCATTTTGGGGTGTTCTAGGGAAGTACGTCTTAAACTAAATTTGTGGTTGCTGGATATAATTGTTAATTTTTTGTGGAGATGACCACTGACTTGAGTAGCTTGCCTCTAAGGTAAGTAATATTGCTATATACTAATTTAAAAGGTAACATATATTTTCAAATAATGCCTCTTCTATCAGGCTTTTCCCCAATAGTATAAACAGTGTATTCAATGTTTATACTCTTATTGACACAGTATTTTTTATTTGCAGGAAGGGCAGGAGCACCACCATCCACTGCTATAGCTGGCACCAGTCAGCCTGCCATTACCAAGACAACGTCTCTTCTGCAAGATGGGGTCATAGTCACAACTGCAGCTGGAAATCCACTACATAGTCAGCTCCCTCTTGGGAATGACTTTTCTTTCGTTGGTCATGAACATGCCCTGCATTTTCCACAGAACAGCACTTCAAACAACAATCTTCCGCACTCTTTGAATCCTAACCTCTTTAGTTCGCTACCTATCTCTTTGCCAGTGAATCAGCAGCACATCCTAAACCAGAATCTATTAAATATACTGCAGCCTTCAACAGGAGAAGGCAAGTCTGAGGTCAACCTCAATCCTTTAGGTTCTCTCAACCCAAATGTAAATGCTGCTTTAGCTTTGCTCTCCGGTGATGTGGATGGGCAGGTGCTGCAACCTGTCCATGTTCAGCTGCTAGCAGCTCTTCTCCAGAACCAAGCCCAAACAGCAGCCATGTTTCCCTTAGCACCTTTCAATCTGTCCATCTCAGATCTGTTACCGCAACCGCAAAACAACCCTGTGCCCACAGGGACACAGATGACAGCCCCGCCATCCGATCACTTGCTTAGTAGTCAGTCCGATACCAACAAAACTGACACCCTGTTAACCAACCCCCTGGGAAACCCTTTCCCAAACTTTTCAGGCACAGACATGGCTTCAAACCCCCTTCTCCTCCCAGCTGTCCCTGGGGCCTCAGGACTAATGGCCTTGAATCCCCAGCTGTTGGGAGGTGTTTTGAACTCTACATCGGGCAGCACTGCTAACCATCCAGAGGTTTCAGTAGCAACCTCCTCCCAGGCTACCACTACCACAGCCACTACATCATCCACAGTGGCAGCACTGTCTGTCTCAACACTTGGTGGGACAGCAGTGATGTCAATGGCAGAAACATTGCTGAGCATATCTAATAGTGCTGGGAGCACATCTGGTCCAGCTAAACTCAACAATAACTCTGTGGTGCCACAGCTACTTAACCCTCTACTGGGGACAGGTCTACTTGGTAAGTTAAATCTTTTCACAGATTTTAAAGCAAAACAGAAAAAAATGGTGGTGGGATGGGAACTTCTATTTTCTACCTTTTAAAAAAATTAAAACTTCAGTTTTCATTGCACTTTTTTTTCTAAAAGGTTTATGCTATGCTAACTTGTTTAACCATTCCAGTGAACGATTACAAATAAAATTGAGGGGGTAAAATATTGACATTTTGAAACCCTATTGTTAGGACATCTGAGGCCATCTACATTGACTCAGTCTGTTGGAATGGCTTTTGCAATTTTCAAATCTCATGCACAGATGCATCTTTGAAATGCCGCATTTTATATAAAATATCCAAGGCATCACAGGGTTAGTACGAGTAGCTGTGCAATAGATGAAAAGCTTCCAAGTCCATCAGAACCAAAAAATATGCTGGTGTATCCTTGCCTGAGGTTGTAATAAAGCAGTGCATAAAGGAGTTCAAGCACAGATTGAAGGTAATAAGCAGCCTTTTGGCTACTTGTCATTGATGTTCCTCATGCTTCTTGGGTCACTTGCTTGTTTCTGTAGCGTATAGATTTCAAGTTTCTCAGCAACTTTAAGAAGGTTTACTTACAGATATTGCAAAAATGTACTCACATATTTCCCAGTAGGCACCTTTGAACTCAATGGGAGATAACTGCAGTGAGAACATGTATAAGATTTCTATAGCATTGTCCTTGTCCAGTACTTTGTTTTTCACGCTTATTGGAAATCCTGTCATTGGCAACATGACTGTACTATAGTAGTTTTAAGTGTGTAAAATGGGCCCAATATTGCCAAATCCTGGTGTTTCCTCCATGAATTTGCCCAAGTACACGTGTCTGTGTTGAACTTAGTGAATTGCTCTTGACAAAACATTGATTAGAAATACAATTGACCCTCCATATTTGTGGGTTTTACTTTCGCAGATTTGATTATTTGCTGATTTGATTAATATATTCTAGGATTCTTTAGATCCTCCAGCATAACTTTGTGGTCAACTTCTGCCAGAGAGTGACCTGGATAGAGGTGTGCTGGAGGATCTGGAGATCCCTAGGCATTTGTAAGCCCTCCAGGGCGATTCTATTCTCAACTGTAGTCAAAGCTTCTTCTGTTATATAGCCCAAATTTATGTAACGCAAAATATTGCACACAGAACATGAAACTGCGCAGTCCCCAGTACAAATACAAAAGAAGGATGAGACTCTTTAAATTCCAGTTACAAAAATTAACCTGGTTTGTGTCAACTAAGGATATCTGAAATGTCAACTTCTACTGTAACTTAATAGACTGTTTCTTTCATGTGGAAAATTAAGTTCATTTACAAATACGTTGCAGAAATTTTGATGTGATTATTCTTTATAATGTATACCTTGGTGGTGTGGTTGCTTTTTGATAACAATAGTATTAAAATATAGTTCTGAAGCAAACCATTTTTTATCGTGTTAGAAGCATCTTGAAAAATTCCAAGTTGCTTCTGGTGTGAGAGAACTGGCTGTCTGCAGAGACATTACCCAGAGGACGCCCGGATGTGTTACCATCCTGTGGGAGGCTTCTCTCATGTCCCAACAAAACCAATGATTAACAAATAATATATTAATAACTGTTAAAGGGTAAAATAGAATATACCACTACTTTAAGAAATCTGAAAACAATTGATAGCTTGAGGAACAAGTTTCAGAATGAATTTCAAAGGACTAGATAGCGTTAGCCATATTATGACTTTTGCAGCTATTACATTTACTAAAACTCTGTCTTACAACTGTGGAAGCCATCTCCCAAGGAAATAGATAGATAGATAGATAGATAGATAGATAGATAGATTGATAGATTGATAGATTGATAGATAGATGATAGATAGATAGATAGATAGATAGATGATTGATAGATAGATAGATGATAGATAGATAGATGATAGATAGATAGATAGATAGATAGATAGATGATAGATAGATGATAGATAGATAGATGATAGATAGATGATAGATAGATAGATGATAGATAGATAGATGATAGATAGATAGATGATAGATAGATAGATGATAGATAGATAGATAGATAGATAGATAGATAGATGATAGATAGATAGATAGATGATAGATAGATAGATGATAGATAGATAGATGAATAGATAGATAGATAGATAGATAGATAGATAGATAGATAGATAGATGATAGATAAATAGATAGATGATAGATTGATTGATAGATTGATAGATTGATAGATTGATAGATTGATAGATTGATAGATTGATAGATAGATAGATAGATAGATAGATAGATCCTTGGGAGATGGCTTCCACAGTTGTAAGACAGAGTTTTAGTAAATGTAATAGCTCCAAGAGTAATCCATCCTTTGTGGTATAATCTCGGAGAACCAATTCCATATAAAGTAGCTTAAAAGTAACATTATTCTTTCTCACCAAAGGTGAAACATGGTACAAGAAGGAAAACTGAGGAAATTGCTGGCTAATTTTAAATGTGTTTGGAATTGCAGGTGATATATCTTCGATAAACACTACTCTTAATAACCATCAGCTCACTCACCTGCAGTCCCTGTTCAACAACAATCAAATGTTTCCATCAAATCAGCAGCAGCAGCAGCAGCTTCTCCAAGGCTACCAGAATCTTCAGGGTTTTCAAGGACAGCCTCCCATTCCTGGCACACCTAATAACCCAAACCCTATGGCTTGTCTCTTCCAGAATTTTCAGGTAGAAATTTATTTATTGTTCAGTGTTACATGCCTCATGAAATAAATGGCCATGCTGTTGTAATATTTTCTTAGGGATATTTACGCACAATTCTGGATGCCATTTTATCATCCTAAACATCCTTCATCCACTAATACCTCTGAAACATTTCACTGTGAACTTTTTGTATGCTTGACCAATAAAAATAAAAGTGCCTGTATTGTCTGGAAGGGATATGGAGGAGAAATATGAGCAGTGTCTGTTCATTGGTTTTCCGTTTTGAAGTCTCTCATATAAAACAATTTCTGAAAAATTATCCCTCCTTATCCTTCACATGTTGATCAAGGATCTGAGAACAAAAGTTAAGCTAAGAAAATGGACAGAAGAAGAACTGTGTTAAAGGAAGATAAGTGAAGGGGGTATTTGAGAAAGTAAAGCAAAATATATGATTTTTTTTAAAGTGAATTAAACATTTCCCTGTGCTTGCAAAAACATAGTTTTCAACCTGCTTTTTATCTTCTTCATATTGAGCTGTTTGGCATTGTTTTTCGTATCTGCTTTGTTAGACATGAATTATGCATGCATTTAATAATGGTGACTTTAATGTAGCCACAGTGAATACTGCTGGATCGGCTTTCTGTGAAGACCTAGATATGCAATAAAGTAAAATGCGAATGGATCCATGCTGTAGATAAAAACTATAGACTATAGATAATGCTTAGTACTGCCTACTGGTGATGCAGATGTTTTAGAATGGATTGGGGAAAATATTTTATTGAGAGGAGCTGTTTTGGCTAGGAAGAGTGCTGAACTGGATGGGGTTATGGCAAAAGTGAGGCCCATGAGTAACATGGAGCCCACTAGATTTTTGCTGTCCTCTTGCTCCTTAATGTTCCCCACCCACCAGGAATTGGTATAGAGCAGGAATTGACAAACTTCAGCCCTCCATGTGCTTTGGACTTCAGCTCCCAGGAATTCCAGCCAGCTTGTTGCTGTTAGAATTGTGAGAGTTGAAGGGAAGGCTGAAGCTTGACCACGCCTGGTATAGAGGGTAACTTTCCACACCTGGAAGACCCAACAGTGGCTGTTTTTCCTCAAGCCAGGGGCCAGAGCCTTGTTTATAGCTTCTTTCCCAAACTGGTTATGAGTATCAGCCTGCTTTTCTATTTCAAACCAATTGCTAAAGCAATTCAGAGACATTGCTTTAGCAAAGGAGTGGGCACCTCCATGTTTCTTGCATAGCTAATAGTGAGGAAACTGAAGTATAGTCCCAATACATTGAAAGGCCTATAATGGCACACCCATGTTTTTAACCTTTAAATCCCCAATCAATTTGCGACCGGATTGTGTGAAAGATCATCTAAGTCACCATAATGCTAAACATGGCCTCAGAAGTCAAGTTCCCTGGTGTGGCTACTAAATACAATAATGTTGGCAGATAATTTGTGGTGGTTTTTCAGTAGTGGTCCGACATCTTTAGAACACCTCCCCCACCAACACCCATGTAGTTTTATTTAGAATCTTATTTTACGTGGACCCTAAAAGCTTTTCTTTTATGTCACATTTGGTGATTTTTATCTTTTTCATTTTCCCAATCTCTTAAACTATTTGTTATGTGAACCGGCTCTTCTTTGTGAGCCATGCAACAACAAGAATGGTCTTGTCTTAAAAGCAACTTATATATAATAAGTAAAATGCATGAATAAATAAATGTTTAATAGCATAAGAGTAAAGGTTACCACTCTGTACAGGTTATACATGCTTGACTTCATCTGTATGCATTGGAATGCAGCTCAGGGCATTAAGGTTAAAAAGATCATCAAAGTAAATTCCACTACCACCACCCCACAGTTAAGTAAATGAGACAGTAGATCTCTTTAGATGGTAAGAGAGATGCACAAACTGATATTTTATGTGTTATGAAGTGGTTAAAGGACTATGGCAATCAAAGGACAGAGTATTAATTAAGAAGGTTTTGAGATCTCTGTAGGAAGACACAATATCGTTTTGTCACCTAAATATTAAGTGAGAATGAATTTCCACATGAGAAGACTTTCGTGCTCCTATTACCACCCTCAAGAGGTCCTGTCTCAAGAGATATACAGATGCTCTTAACAGCAAGTGAAAATGCTAAATAGGAATATCCCAAAGTGCAGGATGGTTCAGCAGAAGCAGGTAATCTGTGTTTCCAGAACCACTTCAATATCAGTACTCAAGGCTGTCTTCCGGTGGAACATTCTCATTTGCAGTTAATCATAGCCAAAGAATAGGTAGAAAACCAGAGATTGTTCTGTGGAGTGGCTCCAATTTATTGTGTACGGGTTTTTTAAGGTAAGGAATTGAGCACTATTTACTCAGTACCTGTTTATGGAAAACCATGCCCTCAGACTTAGAGCTTGCAAATGGGCGATCTTGTCTATTCAGGAGTATTGACTATATTCTGTCTTGGTCCCTGGGTACAAATTCCTTTCTAAAAGACAGTCAGCTGATATAGGCAGGGGAATCATTAAAGGAAATCATCAGGAAAAAATATATAAGTTATTTAGTCTCATTATAAAATTAAGTTTTGACTAATGACTGATGCATGTTCAGTTATTAAATATATGCTGCATTACCCAGAGAAGTAACAGTGTGAAAAGCTGATGCTCTTAACTGTTTGCTGTTATGTCACTTTTGAGTATGGAAACATAATTAAAGGTGGTGGTGATGGTGGTAATGGTTATAATATTATGTCAGTATATTTGACAAATGACCTGTGTGCCAGTATGTTTGATGATGATGATGACCTCTCTGCCCTTTTACAGCTGGGATTTTTTAAATGACTGAAACATACTTTATCTAAAACAGCTTTCAAAAACAAAACTCAATTGTATTTCCCCTTTATGATTTCAAAGGTGAGAATGCAGGAAGAAGCTGCTTTTTTGAACAAGAGAATGATCTCTCAAATGGGAATGCCACCGATTCCTGAAGCTTCCAGCGCCCCGCTTCCTCCTTTTCAAGATACAGCGTGCAACTTGCAACAAAGGACAGAACCATCTGTAGGGCAACAGCAGGCAAAGGACAACCTGGGCCCAGCAGCCCAGAGCGAGGGTTCAGTCGATGCCATCTACAAAGCCGTGGTAGATGCTGCAAGCAAGGGGATGCAAGTAGTTATCACCACTGCAGTCAACAATACAACCCAAATGAGCCCCATTCCAGCTCTGAGTGCCATGAGTGCCTTCACAGCCTCAATTGGTGACCCATTAAACCTTTCCAGTGCTGTCAGCGCAGTAATCCATGGAAGAAACATTGGCATTTCCGATCATGAAGGCAGGGCAAGGAATACTAGAGGGGCACGGATACTGAAGAATTCAGAACACCTTAAAAATTCCAGTGAGGGGGATGGCTTGGAATATTATAAACCAACAGGTTGTAACACACCCAAAAAACAGTGGGAAGGGGAGCAAAGTCCTGGAGGGGAAATGAACAGATGGAAATGTGAGGAGTTTTTAGACCATTCATCCCATATCCACAGCAGCCCTTGCCATGAAAGGCCCAACCATGTCTCTGCACTGCCGCTAGCCCAAGGCAAGCAACTTCCAATTCTGTTACCCCAGCGAAACTGTCACAGCGATAAGATGTTGGAGGAGAACTTCAGGTATAGCAATTACAAAAGAACTATGATGAGTTTTAAGGAGAGACTAGAGAACACTGTGGAACGATGTGCACACATAAATGGAAACAGGCCTCAGCACAGCAGAGGGTTTGGAGAGTTGCTGAATGTCTCTAAGCAAGACCTGGCCATGGAAGAGCAGTCTCCAAGTTCCTCCAATAGCTTTGAAAGTTCTCTAATCAAAGACTACATCCATTATAATGGAGACTTTAATGCCAAAAGCATTAATGGGTGTGTGCCTAGTCCTTCAGACGCTAAAAGCATTAGTAGTGAAGATGACCTAAGGAATCCCGATTCTCCCTCTTCACATGAGTTGATACATTATAGGCCAAGGACGTTTAATGTTGGGGACTTGGTCTGGGGCCAAATAAAAGGACTGACTTCATGGCCTGGTAAATTAGTAAGAGAAGATGATGTTCACAACTCATGTCAACAAAGCACTGCGGATGGGAAGGTATATTTATCCATATACATACATATGTTATATATTTATATATTAACAAAGGTATATATGAGTGAAGAATATTTGTGTCCATTTTTTAAAAAGAAAAAAAAATGTTGGTTATAGTTTTCTGTGTGATTATGGAATTATCATTCATATGCCATGAATATAATACCAGAAAAACATTATTGCCTTCGCCACTTGTGAGCCTTAGGACCAATCTAAAATAATTAATGCAAAAATAGATGTTCCTCTTAATTCTATAAGATGAAAGTACTTTATGCTGTTTGGTAACATTCAAATATGTATTTGTGCATATATTTAATATTACTTAATTATGTGTTTAGATAAGACTTTTTAAATTCTGTTATGGTGAGTGTTTACTTAAAATACTGACTTCATTATTATACATGACAAAGATTTTTGACCAGTATGCAAAGAGCTCCTATGTGAATAGAAAGCACTCTACTATGTCAGTAGGACTTGCCACTTCCCTACCCACAAAGATACAATCCCAGCATTACAACCCTTCCCCTTTACTCACTATTCCACAGAGTCCTCTGAACCTTTCAGAGATAGAAGGATGGGGGTAGAGAAATTCAATCATATCTGTGTACTTTTAGATCCATGCCAAATGAATGAACCTGTCTAAAGCAAAATGCTTAACATTTATGTGAAACTTAAGCATTGGTGTTGCCAGACAGAATTTTAGTCGTGGAAGATCCATGCAAATTTACTTGTCCTCTTGAATAGAGGCAAGCTAATGACTTGGACATACTTTATTGACACCAAAGAGACACATCAAGGCACAGCTTTATCCCGGCTCTAATGACTACAGGTATTCTCCATGTTCATGCAATGTCAACTCATGTTTCTGTGTGGAAAATCATAAGTATGTGGGTATTCCTAAGGTGACTGTATATATCTAGAATTAAGTTATTTATTGTGAGGTAATTTTTTCCTGTAATTTAACAGTATTGCAATAGTCTTAAGAGCCAGATTATTGGGAAGAAGTTAAGAATAACATGAAAATGAGAGTGAGAAGGGAAATAATTTTCTCAATGATACATTCTGCTCTGTTGCTCTACCACCCCTTTCACCTTCACCCAATATGTAAGGGCTTAAGTCTAATGAGAAATTATAGCCTACAACTAGAGAACCCTTCATCCAACAACTGGCTTCTGGTTGTGATTATTCAGTGGTGAAGACGCACTCATGTGGATAATCAATCTTCTTTCTGCTTTCATTGCGATGACTACTACTACTGATTCTACTGCTACTTTTTCCAAAATTATGTCCTACTTGTTTGTGCCATTTCACTTCTATAGAACTCCTACAAACACATCCAACCTGATCCTTCACCAGATTGACACAAAATCCCATTTCATGTTCATGATTAAGAAGATGGGCCCATATCACTTAGAGCAGTCGTTCTCAACCTGTGGGTCCCCAGGTGTTTTGGCCTACAACTCCCAGAAATCCCAACCAGTTTAGCAGCTGTTAAAGATTTCTGGGAGTTGAAGGCCAAAACATCTGGGGACCCACAGGTTGAGAACCACTGACTTAGAGTTTCCCAACTCCACTCACTAGTTTCCCTTGTCGAAATTTGCGATGAACACTTGAATTGTGAAGCATTATAACCACTAACCTACTTCATGAATGTGAATAATTAACTGCACAGAAGACAGTTTGAATCTTCTTAGAAGTTTATTTAAGAAAGCTGAGTACCACTCTGCTCGGTGTAGTGATCCTCTTAAATATAACCATTAAACAAATGAAGGTTGAAACAGATGGGCAATGGATTCCTTTTAAAATGTTAAATTTGTGTAAGAGAGCCAGAGTGGTGTAGTAGTTTGAGCAATGGTCTATGACTATGGGGACCAGGGTTTAACAGCAACACATTTGTGTGAATATTAGTACATTGTTGTTTTTGCATAAAGTGCTCAATTCCTACATCATATTGACACACTTTCCCTACCATGTTATTCTAATTTGTATGTATCTTATTTAAGTTTTATGTAGTTTGAATTTAAGGCATTTGGCAAGAGGAAAATTAATTTAAATTTCAGGAACAACCTATGCACTTGTTCTATTTCCAATTATTTGGAGTTGAGAACAGTTCATCAGATCTATCCAATCTTTTTGAGAGACTTTTGAACAGAAATGTGAGGTAAAATTACTTCTGTAAAAAACAATAAAATTACCAAAATTTTAAGAAAATGAATTTTATAGCCAGGGACTCTAGAATAATTCACACATGTATGTTGTATTCAGACAGATTTACTCACTTGTTAACTAGTATCCCATAATGAATTATTTGTGAGTTCATTCTCATAGGTTATGCATAATTAAAATATTGAGCCCAGCGTTATTTGATAACAATATGTATTCCCATTTTCCCTACATAGTCTTTTCTGCACCATGAGTACTTGTCCCTTTATACACCAATGCCTTTTTCTGTCTGTCAGTCACTATGCTGTTTATAAATAAGGTTCCTCTCTCTTTGTTGGTCCCCTCTTGTCAGCAAATGTATCCACTTCCACTTTCCTCCCATTGTCAATTCCCAAGGGAGTAATTCAAAACTTTAATATGATGCAGGTTCTCATGATATTGTCTTCTAACCCTGTTGTTGATTATTAGTAAACTGATATCCAATACAGAAGACCAGTTAAACTTGGAATAAATGCAAGTTTCTCATTTCTTGTACTTCCAGAACCTATAAAAGGGGTTGTTTTTCCTTTTGTAAAACATAAGTACTAATGACTGGCAGAAGCTGTTTGCAGGGTCTCAAAAATGTTATATAAAACTTTTTAACCTGAGAGAAAACCTCTCAGCATCATTAGGACTTCCAGCATGACCCAGTAGTCAACTTCTACTTGAGTTGACCAGAAAATTGCAGTGGAACACTCTCTATATCCCCCAGTACAATTGTACTATCGGTTTGAAGCCTAAGTTGACCATAGAGTCAACTGGAGAATGTAGAGATTCCTAGCAAAAACATATTAATCAAATCTGTGAACAGTCCCCAAAAGTTGAACACACAAATGTAGAGGACTGGTTGATTATATTCACAAAAGTTGCCAGCATAAATAAATGTATATCCTAATTTCTAGTTTTCTGATTGAACCATCATACTGATTGAAAGGTTGAGCATCAGTAAATCCATCATCTAAAAACTATCACATCTATTGTTAAATTTCAACTGAGAAGGGGGCCGGGATTATACCTCAGTCAGGCCCAGAACCATAAAAAGATATATTTTTTTTGAAATAGGAAAGTACAGTACAGTAGCAGTAGTTATGGTATGCTGTATGCATAACTAATTTCATGTATTGTTTTTGTAGTTAATTTTTCCAAAGTTCAGTTACTAAATATGTGGAATACCAAAAGTGCTACCACAATAATATCACAAGTAATAATGCATCTAGCTTGCAGCACCCTGGTGCATTCAGTGAAGTTCACAGCAGAAATATTTGTAATGTTTCAGTTGACTAATGTGGTCATTTGATATACAAATTAGCTATTATTGGAACAAAATCTGTTGTTTATCTCTGTGAAGATTTAAAGTAGCAAAAGCAATATAAGATGTGATGATAATAAAGATGAAATAATGGTATATTTCACATTGAAAATGTTTATTTTAGTATTCTTTGGTAAATGAACTGTGAAGTTCTTTAATCTCATTTGGAAAGTAAAGTTATCTGTACATAATGATTGCAATGCCGTATGTAGATTTGGTTGCACACAAAGAAAAAAATCATGCTTTCACAAAGTTCAATTAGGAAGATAATTGAGTTGAACCATCTGGTATTGCAATCTATAATTTTTATTGCTGATTTCAGTGCAGCTGAAGTTTCTGGTTTTGCCCAATTTGTAGTTTTGTTGTTAATTACAGTGGACTAAATTGTATACGGGGACATTGGTGCCAAAACAAAATTTCTGTTCATTCGCTGCTTTAATAATTAACAATATCAAGATGATGTAATATTGTCTGACAACATGCTTCATTCACTTCATATTTTAGGGTTTGAGAATATAAGAACAGACAAGTTGAGACCAAAGTCCTTCTAGTTCAACCTTCTCTTTGCATAGTAGCCAATCAGTTGCCTTTTAGAAACAGATAAGAAGGGCATGCGTCCTGTTCATAATCTTCACTTGTCTCTGGTAATCATGGCAACATATATATCTCCATTGTGGCTTGAAGCCATGAATACTCCAGTCCTCTATGAACTTGCCCGATCCTTTAAAAAAAAAAAAAACCATCCCACTGGTAGTTCAGGCTTGATTTGCCCTCGGGCCCATTCCTTTGTCTTTTAAGCAGTCTGCAGCATCCATAGAACACTTCTTCAGTACCACTGTCCAAATAATTTGATTTTCTTCTTATCAGCTTTCTTCACTATCCAGAATTCACAACCATACATAGAAATTAGGACTATGATGGACTGGACAATCATAGCTTTGTATTGTCGAAGGCTTTCATGGCTGGAACCACTGGGTTGTTGTAGGGTTTTTTTCAGGCTATATGGCCATGTTCTAGAGGCATTCTCTCCTGACGTTTCACCTGCACCTATGACAAGCATCCTCAGAGGTAGTGGGTTACCTCACTACCCCTGAGGATGCTTGCCATAGATGCAGGCGAAACGTCAGGAGAAAATGCCTCTAGAACATGACCATATAGCCCAAAAAAAAAACCCTACAACAACCCAATCATAGCTTTAGTGTTCAATGATATATCTCTCCACATCAGGGTATTGTCTTGTTCCTTCATAGTTGCCCTTCCAAACCCTTGTCTTCTCCTGATTTCTTGACTGCAGTCTCCATTCTATCTTAATATGGGGTCTATTATGAGAGCAAGGAAGAAATGTCCCCTTGTGCATGACCCAATCAACGCATATTGTGATGTGTAGAACCCAGATATAAAAGTGGTATATTTACGAAGGTTTACAGATGTCTGGATTTGACATGTTAATGTGTCATTAGCAAACTTTATATTTCAGTGTTAATGAACAGAATGTTTGCATAGTGTATAAATGTACAAATACCCAAATTTTATATATGTACCAATTGTTATGTGTTCTATGTGGCAACTGAGCAAAGCATATTTTAACTGTGGTTATATTACCTTTAAGGAACACAGAAGATAGTTAAGGTTTTCACATAGTTCTTTTTTTTTACTCTGAAGTGTGTGTATATTCTGTCACTGTGACTCAGAATCTCTTGCATTAACTGAGCAGAAAAAGTGAAGAGATGTTGATAGATGCAATGCCTGTTAGGCACCAAAGGAAATAACAATAACAACCACTTGTAGGAGTGCTGAATGCCTGGATAATGTGATTTTGTATTCATGCCTTCATTCAGGTGGAACCTGACAAGTTGAAGACACTAACAGAAGGTCTGGAAGCCTACAACCATGTCCAAAAGAGGAATAGAAAGTAAGTTGTCTTTATTCTTAGGCAAGCACCAGCCTTAAGAGGAATGATTAATGTTTGCAGACAATTTGACTTTGTCTGAAAGGAGAGTTGTTGTTTTTGGTATGCAGACTCACCATATTTTTACTCTACTAAACACATTTTACTGATTTGGCCTTGTTTCAAATACTTATTTAACAGGAAGTAACAGTATGGCAAAATATATGTTTGAATACAAACTTAGGGGAGAGATGTTAGTCTCTAGCACAAAAGGCAGATGATCTTTCCAAAACAATTTGGGATACCAAAGTTGCCTCTGGAGAGCTGTCAAATACGTGTTATTCATGTCTCTTTTTTTTTTTTACGTTTTTCATTACTAGCAAAATGCAAGTGTTTCCCTGTACCTTGAACTTCTATTAATGAGTTTTATAAATGAAGTTCAGTGTTTGTTGCAGCTCATATTCATCCGTGGAAAGACAGAAAGCAAAGGTTCTGAATTCTACTAAACCACTGCAGTGTACATGATTCATGGCTACCTGACAAAGGGTGCTCTTTTGTTAATACCTAATAATAAATACATGTATAATTGGTAATGTATATTCATGACATTTTTCTGTGTGACTATTTTTGGCAAGAAAGGTATATTTAGCAAAACTTCCTGATTCTATGAGAGAATACATAATGGCAGGCTTTCAAACTACTTAAGTGCCAAACCAGATCTGCAGTTGTGTTTGACTGAAATCTGAAAGGCTTGAGAGCACTAAACTCCGTTGAATTGTGGCAAATGTAATAAAATAGAGTGTAAAATACTGGTCTCATTATTGCTTTGGACCCAGATTTGATATTCCATGATTGTACGGTCTTCTCTGCTGAATCTCTGCAATCACCAGTTTGTTCTGGTTTTGGAGGTTTCTTTTCATGTCAGGAGCAACTTGAGAAACTGCAAGTTGCTTCTGGTGTGAGAGAATTGGCCGTCTGCAAGGACGTTGCCCAGGGGACACCCGGGTGTTTTACCATCCTATGGGAGGCTTCTCTCATGTCCCTGCATGAGAAGCTGGAGATAACAAACGGGAGCTCACCCTACTCCCTGGATTCAAATGGCCAATGTTTTAGTCAGCAGTTCTGCCAACACAAGGTTTGACCCATTGTGCCACCGGAGGCTCCTTGGTTTTTTCTGTGATCACCAGGTTGTTTTTCCCGTTGCATCCTCAAAGGCCAGCTGGTACACTATTCTATAGGGTTCTTCAAAGCTCCAGAACAAATCTTCTATCACATAGGAATTGCTGAGTAAAGAGGTAGTCAATTAAAAATACAGCAATTTCATGTAGAAGTTTAGGGCAGCCTCTCTCTGAATAAATTCTGCCAAAAAAGCCCTGTGATAGGATTGTCTTGGGGTCACCATAAGTCAGAAACCTGAAGGCACACAGCAAAAACAACAAAAAAACACTAAAAAAAACAAACCAGGGGAATTCTAAACAAGAATCAGTCAGGGTCAGTTAACAACTCCCAAACAAAGGATCCCCCAGGCAGCCGGCAGCCAGGCTTTGAAGCTACAAGGCCATTAAATGCCAATCAAGGTAGCTAATTGCAACATTTACACTTGCCACAAGCAGACAAGTGCTCTTTCCCCCACCATGGACATTCCACAGATACATAGACCCCACTTGCCTAGTTTCCAACAGGGCTCACAACCTCTGAGGATGTCTGCCATGGATATGGGTGAAACGTTAGGAGAGAATGCTTCTGGAACATGGCCAGACAGCCCAGAAAACTCACAGCAACCCATAAATAATATTTGTTATTAATCATAATCCACGTAGTTTGTGGGTGTATTAATCCATAGGACTGAGACAGTGGCTATTTTTCTAAAAACCACTATTGTGGCATCTCAAAGATTCACAAATTTTATCCTTTTCATCTTCTATATTTATTCTTTTTTGTTTCTTATTACTACATCCAGTGAAGTGGTCAGCAGTCTCAACATCTTATGACAAATCAAAATTTTAGTCTTAAAGATAAAACAAGATTATTTGTGACCAAATTTCAGAGTACTATACACAGATTGAAATATAAGACAGCTACTTCCAAGGGGTTGGCAGCTCTTGCTTGCAGGAGCCAGAAAGTAAAATGAAAAAGTAGTATAGAAATTGGAAGTGACTATAGAACTTTATTTATATACCGCTCCATCTCCCCGAGGGGACTCAGAGCGGTTCCGAGGTAACATCACAAAAATACAAAGTAAAAACAACATAACGACAAGATTAACAAAACAAAATATAAGCATAAAAATTGTCACCGTAACACACATATATTAAAAGTAATCCTGTCTGTTCAAGACAAAAAATTTAAAAGGCCAGGCCAAGATTTGTGCAAGCCCAAAAATTCTAGGGGGCCTGGGAATTAAGTGCAACACTATGGCAGGCAACAATAATATTAGGTACGGGTCTGTGGCTGTTCATTCTGGGGCCGATTAGAGGAATGAATATGGGTAATTAGTAGGAAGAATAAGGCCGTATTCGACAATGTGCAGGGCTGAGTTAGAACTGGTCATTTTCAAAGGCTTGTTGAAACCACCTGGTCTTCAAGCTCTTACAAAAGGAGGGGAAGGAGGGAGCATGTTTTTTCCCTTGGAACTGCGTTCCAGAGGCAGGGGGCCACCACCGAGAAGGCCCTCTCTCTCGTCCCCACCAACCAGTATATGCCTTACCAACATTTCCAGGTGTTATTGTAGATCAGTGGTTCCCAATCTTTGGGCCTTCGGGTGTTTTGGATTTCAACTCCCAGAAATCCTAGCCAGCTTACCAGCTGTTAGGAACTGTGGGAGCTGAAGTCCAAAACACACGGAAGCCCAAAGGTTGGAAACTACTGCTATAGATAAAGTAAAAAAAAAAAGGTGTACTTCTCCAAGGTGGTTCATCCATTCATATCCATGTAAACCAGGTTTTCGTCAAATAGTATGCAAGTGATTAGTTTTACTATGAAAACTTGTAAGAATTTTCACATTCCTTAGACAAACAGAGCAGCATGTTTACAAAAATAGTCCAATCTCTACTCCTGTATGTATTCAAACCTCTTTTTTATGCTCTGCTCAAAAACACACTCTAGCTCTTCTGTTTCACTCCCAACTTAAAAGTCCCAGGCTTTTAAGGAAACTATCCATTTTGGTGAGAGCATGTCGTTATTAAACAGACAGAGTAAACAAATCTGCATATTGCAGATTTTGCATACTGCAGATTATGCATACTGCTTGGAGCATGTGCAAAACCTTGTTATGATTTGTACATTCCACACATTTCTTGGGAGACTATGCATATGCATGAAAAACATACAAAGCAAAGATATACACACTCCTTGAGGCCCACTGGATATTGACTGGGAAATGTATATTGATTGGGAAATGGGCACTATGTCCCTACGAGGCATTTAGAGTATACCAAAACGTGACTTGTACCAAATGTCCCAAAATGGAGAGCTTCACTGATTTGCAGTGGAATTTTAGAGGTAAAAGGATGTGTACACCAGCCTCTGCTACTGGGCATTGGGAGGATGCTCTGAGCACTGGAGAATTAATAGAGGGAAGAATGGGTTTTGCCACTCTTAGAAGCAATTCATGAGGCCCCACAAAGCCTAACCCAATATAAGTAGTGGACACCAATTTATTATTATTATTATTATTATTATTATTATTATTATTATTGATCAGCATAAAGTTGGTTCAAGGAAAAAAAAATAACAGGGAAATATAATTTGCAGTTTTTCCCTGGATAAACTGTTCCTTCATATACTAAGCATTAAAATTTTATGACAAACAAGATTATTCATAATACACTTTATATTGGCAGGTGAATTTTCATTAGTAATTGGTGTTTATCATTTTTTTCAATGCTTCTGAAAATTCTGGAAAAACGAAGAAAACAGTTTTTCTCTGACTTCAACATTTCTAGATTTTTTTCTGCTCCAGGGAGATCAGCAGCAGATCTTCTAGAACAGATGTTGAATCAAATGGTAATCAGATATATCGGGGGCCTGCTTCTGGGCTGTTTAGAGAGGCAGTAAACATTTCATGCAAAATCATTTATGACTCACTATTTAGCCAGGAAATTTCCAAGTGTAAAAGCAAGACAAAGCCTGGCTTCATCAGGATTACAGTTTTAAAAGCCCGACTCAAAATAACAGGAGAGTGAGAGCGAAACAAATCAGGAATCCTCAGGCACCAATATTTGATGATTCATGGTATTTATCCCCAGCTGTAATGCAGTTAGTTGGCATAATAGGTTATACCTATAGGTCGATATTTAATCACTACAGTACATTCTCTCATATTCAGGTTTATATGTTGGATAGTTTGAGCAGGTGGCAATCTGAGTCACATGTAGACAGGCAAAACAATGCAAAGTAGATTTAGGATCCATCCCAGTGGACTCCTTGAAAGTATGCCTTTAGTCTTTCCTGAAATGGAATAAATATCAGCCATTTGTTCATGTGTGTGTGTATGATAAAATAAAATTCTGAACTTAAGAAGTCCATACTTCCAGTAGCCTAACCACTGATGAAATCATCACCTTGCAAATTGTCTCTCCTGAAACAAGCTGCAGGTTTGGGAGGGGTAATGTAACCTTTCTCTCTTTCTCTTCCCCTCTTTCATTCTCTCTTCTGTATGTACATTGCAATGAAATTGGCCGGGAAGATAGCACAAATCCATACCTTCTTTCCTATTCTCTCCCATTCACCTGCCTGCATCACGAGCCAATCCTTCTTTGTGAAATTCCTTCCTAATCCCAAATATGGCAATTAGCCAAGGCCTGAAAGTAAGACGAGCCTGTGCTAGAGTTTGCCAGAGAACATGAAATTACCATGCTCCCTGACAAGCCGATTAGTGTATCCTATTTGTAATTACCACACTGGAAAGTAGACCACTCCTTTCAAGTCAACACGTGGCTTGTAGAGAGGGACAGTGATACACCTTCACAGATTAATAAGCAATGAGCAGGTGAGCAATTAAGTGAGGAACCTGCAGAGAGGGC